TACCTTTCAGATGAATATCATTACAGTTTTTAAACCATCCCTATTATTCTACTTCACATATAAGAATTGCTTGGGTTTGATCTTCCATAACAAATCTCAGAAATTTTGCTGCTGCAGAGTGACAAATTGCAAAAAAGAAAGAAGACCAAAGCAAATGGATATTAATGGAAGGCACTGTCAGATGGATCAATATAATAAACTCACTGTTATTGTTCCTTTCCCTGCTGGCGTCTTGTCTCTCTTTACAAGCGGCTTTGTAATTTTTCTCGAGGACACAATCTGAACACAGAGAGAAAAGGTCAATTTAGTGAAATTCAGAAGCATCTTAGCCCAGGTTTAAATATTTAGAGCATTTGTGTGGGTTATGTTAGCAATGTTTAGGTAATATTTTGGAGCAAAGCGAGACTGACCTGTCCCAAGGTGCACTCCAGTTGTCCAAGGAAGTCGGCCTCTTCTGGACTGCAGCTCTCACTGTCGATGTCATACAACTCAAACCTGAGCTTCTGCACCATCTCAAAGTAGTAGTCAAGGACGATCCTCTTGGAAAATTTGGGATTTAGGCAGTTTTGTATTTTTTCCGTTCGGCCAATCTAATACAAAAAAATTTAATTAAAAAAAATAAGGATCTGTTTCATTAGCAGTACCAAATAAACCCTCATCCAGCTCCTTACCTCCTGCCAGTAAGACCCTGAAGAGTTCAGCCGAAGCACGCACATGGGGTCAGACTTGGAAAAGGCATCCATGTCCAGCAGATTATCACAGGAGATGCTCAACGCCACCTTGGTCACACAGTTTGCCGGGCCGGCAGGAAGGACTCCAACTGACGCCATCGCTGTCCGAGGGGGGAGGGGGACACGGAGACCTCGACGAACCTGGAAAAATATGTATATGTTAGGGAATAAAGACAAGCGCTCACTTATTGAACACCTGAATAATCTGATACAGAGAGCTGGTAATCTGGCTTATTTCTTATAATAGTTTAAGATTGAAAGGATTGTTCAATTCAAGGGGGTTTTATATTGACAGAAAAATGCAATTTTAACTCATTTTAAAACCGTATCTTTTAATTTAAATCCCTACAGTCCTTTTTGCACTTTCTTCTCATCCTTATTTCTAATAATATTGAGCGCCATTTTATATTTTCATAAATACCTCATATGTTCCCACATCCTTTCATCTCTTTCACACATCAGGTTTGTCTGCAAAATTAGTTCAATTGAAAACTACGCAAGCATCAGAGAAATGCCGACGGGCAAGATTCAACAGATTAAATGAGACAGTCATCTCTGCTGAATCAGACGGGATTTGTTTATGGCGTCACAAAACGATGTAGAGGACAGCTGAGAAGGTTGACCCTTTACTTTAGATAAGATCTATTTTTATTACTAGTATTATTACTGTTATTATAACAGATCTGAGTCTATGGGATAAAGCATCCAGCAGAGGAATGCCTACAAACAACAACCACACAAGCCCTGCAGATACATACATTCATGGTTATTATGTGGTATCATAAGAATAAAGAACAGCCCTAAAAAAATGCATTGAGTTTAATTATTATTATTATTATTATTATTAGGAGGAGAGTGGCGGCATAGAGCTTTGATTTCTGAGTTTTAACCCCACTCCCACAGACTGCCACTCTGGGTCTCTGTGCAAAGACCCTTAACCCCACACGGCACCGCACACTAGAAAAAAACAAAATCTAGATAAGTCTTATTTTTCTTTTAAAAAGTGCATTTGTTCCTGGATAGAGGAGTAAAAAGAGACATTTTGCCAATGGAACAAGACAATTTACATTTAAAATAAGAAAAAAACTATTGCACTGTCTTACTCCAAATGGATATTACCTAATTATCTTATTTTAAGAGTAGAAATACTGATTCCATTGGCAAACTATCTCATTTACCTACTCAAATTAAGGGTAAATACACTTAATTTCAGAAATGTGTACCTATTTCTAGATCGTTTTTCAAGTGCAGGAGCCCCAACATGGCAGCCCACTGCTCCTCAAGGGGATGGGTTATACGCATAGTTAATTTTGTTGCTTTGTACTTGTGACAGTGTAATGACAATGAAACACCATTTAAAATAATTTTTGGGGGGGGATATTACCTAATTATCTTATTTTAAGAGTAAAAATACTAATTCTAGTGGCAAACTATCTCATTTACCTACTCAAATTAAGGGTAAATACACTTAATTTAGGAAATTTGAACTTATTTCTAGATAGTTTTTCCAGTGAAAACTCTGCAGTGGAAAAAAATCGAAATCTAGATAAATATTTTTTTCTTAACATAAGTGCATTTGTTCTGGATTGATGAGGTAAAAGAGACATTTTGCCAATGAAACAAGACAATTTACATTTAAAATAAGAAAACGCAATTGCATTGTCTTATTCCAAATGGATATTACCTAATTATCTTATTTTAAGAGTAAAAATACTGATTCCATTGGCAAACTATCTCATTTACCTGCTCAAATTAAGGGTAAATACACTTAATTTAAGAAATTTTTACTTATTTCCAGGTTGTTTTTCCAGTGCAGGAGCCCCACCATGGCAGCTCACTGCTCCCCTAGGGGATGGGTTATACGCATAGAGTTCATTTCGTTGCTCTGTACTTGTGACAGTGTAATGACAATTAAACACCAGAAGAAGAAAAAGAAAAAAAAAAGTGAGAGACTTTGCCAATGGAAAAAGACAATTTACATTTAAAATAAGGAAAAAACAATTCCACACTATCTCATTTACTTACTCAAATTAAGGGTAAGAAATTTGTACTTATTTCTAGATAGTTTTTCCAGTGAAAACTCTGCAGTGGAAAAAAATCGAAATCTAGTAAATATTTTTTTCTCAACATAAGTGCATTTGTTCTGGATCGATTAGGTAAAATAGACATTTTGCCAATGAAACAAGACAATTTACATTTAAAATAAGAAAACGCAATTGCATTGTCTTATTCCAAATGGATATTACCTAATTATCTTATTTTAAGAATATAAATACTGATTCCATTGGCAATCTATCTCATTTACCTGCTCAAATTAAGGGTCAATACACTTAATTTAAGACATTTGTACTTATTTCCAGGTTGTTTTTCCAGTGCAGGAGCCCCACCATGGCAGCTCAATGCTCCCCTAGGGGATGGGTTATACGCATAGAGTTTATTTCGTTGCTCTATACTTGTGACAGTGTAATGACAATGAAACACCAGGAAAAAAAAAAAGTGAGACACTTTGCCAATCGAAAAAGACAATTTACATTTAAAATAAGAAAATAAAAAAATGTATTGTCTTATTCCAAATGGATATTACCTAATTATCTTATTTTAAAAATAAAAATACTCATTCTATTGGCAAACTGCCTCATGTACCTGCTCAAATTAAGGGTAAATACACTTAATTTAAGGAATTTGTACTTATTTCTAGATTGTTTTTCCAGTGAAAACTGCACTGGAAAAAAAATCAAAATATAGATTATAGTAATTTTTCTTTAAATACGTGCATTTGTTCTGGATTGATGAGGTAAAAGAGACATTTTGGCACTTTAAATTTACATTTAAAAGAACACAAATGCATTGTCTTATTCCAAGTGAATATTACCTAATTAGCTTATTTTCAGAGTAAAATACTCATTCCATTGGCAAATAATCGTATTTACTTGCTCAAATTAAGACTAATTACACTTAATTTAAGAAATGTTTACTTATTTCCAGCCCGTTTTTGCAGTGTATAATAGAAAAAAAGGCCAAACTGAACTCTACTATACAGTTATTTATTTCAGAGATGGGATATGGAGCATGCGCTGCTCATTAAAGCGAACATTATCGCTCAGAAATGAAAATAAAATCAACATGAACACCGCTCCCTATAGAGAGGTTGGTGTTTTTAACACTAAATGGAAACTCTGAGTAGAAGAAGTGAGGGAATAGAAAGCGCTGTGTTCCAGTTATTTCAACCGTCGCTCCGTCAGAGCCAGGGGCGCTCTTACTTTTAAATAATAAAACATTCAAATTAGAAGAGAAACGGAGAAATGACGCCTGTTTTTCTTTTTTTTAAACAGTGTGGGAAATAATTCAGTCGTGTCAAGGGTTTCTTCGGGTTTTAGCCTACCTTTATATCGCTGGCAGTCCTCCGTGAACGTAGCGGAGAGCGCTTTGCTAGCTAGCTGACGGAGGGAGGCGTCTACCCCTTCCTGTTAGCAGTGGGAGGGGAGAGAAGGAGAGGAGAGAGGTTCGATTCCCGGTTGGAACAAAAAAATATGTTACATATTTAATTTCTGTTTATTTATATAGCGGGAATTGAACCCAGATCATTCTTGCTGCAAGACAGCAGTGCTACCCACTGCTCCACTAAGCAGCCCAATTTATTTTCTTTAATAAAGTGTCATTTTCCCTCGATTTCAGCAGACAATTTACCAACAAAATGATCATGATATTCCGTTCTTTGCTCCTATGCCAATTTCAACTGTTCTAGAACTGTCATTAAGAATATATAAATAAACTTTAATGATGTTTTATTTGAGGTTATAAATGATTAAAAATACAGATCATTTCTTTTAATGGAATTTTATATTGTTGTTGGGCAAATTTTATATCCACACATTGTTAAGTTATAATGACTAAACTCTCAAGTGCCCCTTTATCCTCATAAAGCAAGTGGGCTCTCCTCATTCTTCTGAGGAGAGCCCACCAGCCCCCACCCATCCTCCCCACCTTCTATAGAAGCACCATAAAGAGCGTTCTGACAAGCTGTCTCACTGTGTGGTGTGGAGGCTGCAGCACCTCAGACTGGAAGAAGGTGAGAAGAGTGGTGAGAACAGCAGAGAGGATCATGGGGGCTCCTCTTCCCTCAATAAAAGACATATCCTCCCAGTGCTGCATGTCCCAAGCCCTTAACATCATCAATGACCCCTCACACCTCCATCATGGACTGTTCTCCCTGCTGCCCTCTGGGAAGAGGCTTCACACCATCTGATGCAGGTCCAGCAGATTCCAGAACAGCTTTTTTCCCCACTGCCATTAGGCTGCAGGATGTTGTATAAAATGGGTTTATTAAAAAAAAAAAAAAAGCCCTGAATGTAAAACTGTAAATCATATACCAGTCTTATGTTTACATTTATTCACCATGTTTACATTTTATCACTGCTGCACTTTAAAAATGGAAATGTCTTGAGAGCTGTACTAAATAAAATTTATTTTTGTATACACTCTAAGTCTTATTGACACAGAAAATCGATATAAACTGAGTCTCTATACATCAAATTATACAGTATACTAAATAACTTAATGAAAATAGCATAGGAAATGTCTTCAATGATGATTATAACTGGTGATATTAATCATTAGAAAACATTTATGCCTTCTTTGTTGTTTTTTTTGCTGTTGTTTCTCTTCGTTTGTTTTTTATCTCAGGCTCTGCTGAGCTGACTTATGGGACTTTACCCGCTGTGTTAGAGTAATTTACATTAACGATGGGTCATGGATGAGTCTTTCATGGGACCATAAATCAAAACACACAGTTAAAACTGTAAAGAAGTGACTAAAGACGATGGTCATTAGAGTTAGGAAGCAGCCTATTTCATCTCCCGACCTTTTAAAGCTGTCAGGACAAACGGCACAGCACGGAATTGATCTTTTAATTCACATCAGACTGAGAGAACAGAAACTCACTTAGCCTCAGAACTCCTGATGAGTTATTTTCATTTAAGATATGCTGGGGAGAAGGTTGTGGGGTTCACTGTAGAAAAAAAAAAAGAAATCTAAATAAGTAATTTTTTCTTAAAATAAGTACATTTTTCCTTGAATTGAGACGGTAGGTGAGAAACTTTGCCAATGGAACAAGACAGTTTACATTTAAAATAAACTAAAAAACAATTGCAGTGTCTTTTTTTAAAGTGCATATTATCTAATTATCTTATTTTAAGTATAAAACTCAATAAATTGGAAAATCACCACTTCTCAAATGAAGGGTAAATACACTTAATTTATGAAATTTTTACTCTTATTTCTATGTTTTAATAGAAATAAGGCTAGAAAACTGCATGCAGTTCTTAGAGCTGTTTTTGCCAAACAGCTTATTTTGCCACCGCGTTTGGCATTTACTTAATCATATTTAGTTGCTTTAACACAATTGTTTTATGTCCTACCCTGCTAACATAAAACAATTATGTTAAAGTAACTAAATATGATTAAATAAATGCCAAAAATGGTTGCATTATTATTATTATTATTTGTGTGTTGTTAAAGGAAGAGAGGAGAGAGTTCCTGATCCTGTCTGGTTCCCCTCTGGATGGAAAGAAGAAGTCAGTTTTATACATTTCTAACCTTTTCACGATGAATTATGCAGCAGTGCGGAGAAGTTCCTGGAAATGTTTTGCAAAGATCCAAGAAGAGTTCGTATTGGTTGAGATACCCACCTACACATCAGTGTTTTTACAAATCGTTAGAAATGCCCAGCTCTGTGGAACATTTGGGATACATCTAATATCTGAAGAACATTTTTGTTCTGAATAGCTCTCCCCGCATTAGCTAAGACAGAATGGAAGGGTTCATCTTTCTAAGTACCGTAAGCAGAAATTCTTCTATATTATCCAGATGATATACACAAATACAATAAAGCTCTTTAGCTCAACAACACTGAAAAAAAAAATAATGCAACCATTTTTGGCATTTACTTAATCATATTTAGTTAGAAATTTAGTTTAAATTTAGTTATTTAGTTTAACACAATTGTTTCATTTTAGCAGGGTAGGACATAAAACAATTGTGTTAACGTTAGTGTTTCGCCGATTTTTGGCCCCGAAACCTGGCTGTGCAGTATTGGCCGATACCAATACCATCTGTTTGAAATGGATGTGTGTGTATATATGAAGAACTGCATACTACTTGGATGTAAAATAATTGCCATCATGGCTTTGTAAAGCTGCTGCCTACCTTTGTGAAGCAGGAAAAAGACTAAAACAAAGTGAATCCAGTAGAACTTTTTATTGCCTACCTGGAATGGGTGACATTCCAGGCTCTCAAAATGGTATCGGTGCCCTATTTGTTGGTACTCACCGATACCGATCAACCATTTTAGTGCTGGATCAGGGCCCTGTCTGATACTGGTATCGGTGCAACACTAGTTAAAGTAACTAAATATGATTAAGCAAATGCAAAAAGCGGTTGCATTAATTTTTTCAGTGAACTCTCCATGTTTCTGAAACATGAACATGAAGTTTGCAAGCTCCAATGGAAAAAAGCAACAAAAAAACAGAGATCGCATGTGAGAAAAAGAGAAATGTAAACAAGACGGATACAGGAAGTAGGACAGAGTACATAAAATACTGTGACTGAGTTTTTGTAAAATCTTGCAGGTATGGCACCAGAATTTCAGTTAGGTCTGATTGGATTTATTTGATTTAATTCAACTTCAGTCAGAGAGGTAGGTGTTTTATTTTGCACAGTTTCATGCTAAATTGCTATAAAGCCTGGAGGAGAAGCAGGGGTGATCTCTGATCAACAGAATAGATGTATAACCTCTTGCCATTAGGAAGGATTAGGATGGCGGAGGGTTATTGAAGGTGTTTGGTGGTTTTAGTTTGTAAGCATTGAAGAAGGATGACACTTGATCAGGAAGCTCTGCCAGGACACTCTGGGCGAGGGCCACACCGTTTCCCTGCAATAAAACAAAGCAGCATAAGGAGGACAGATCAACAAACTTCTCAGTGGAATCTAGGCTTGAAATGTATCCATTCCCCTTAAACTTTTCTCACATTTTGTGACCAAACTGGCTTTCAAACTCTAATGGCAGCATAGACCAACAACCAAAGCAGTCAAAGATTGTGAAATGAAAAGAAGATGACAAAAATTTAAATTTAAACAGAGGAAAACATATCTGCAAAGATTCTCAGTCATCCAGGTCATGATCGAGGTTAAGAGGTTCAGTTTAGGCAACTGGATGTGAAGTTTTATTAGAAGACGTTTCGCCTCTCATCCAAGAGGTTTCTTCAGTTCTAACTAGTTTTGGGGAGCACTGAGTCATTGGGAGCCAGCCAGCCAGCCAGCCATCTTTTTCTACTTATCCAGGGTCGGGTCGTGGGGGTAGCAGCTTCAGTAGGGAGGCCCAGACGTCCCTCTCTCCAGCCACTTGGGCTAGGTCCTTTGTGGGAATCCCAAGGCGCTCCCAGGCCAGCCGAGAAACATAGTCCCTCCAGCGTGTCCTGGGTCTCCCCCTGGGCCTCCTCTCAGTGGGACGTGCCTGGAGCACATCACCAGTGAGATGCCCAGGAGGCATCCTAACCAGATGCCCGAGCCACCTCAACTGACTCCTCTCGATGTGGAGGAGCAGCGGCTCTACTCTGAGTCCTCCCCGGCTAACTGAGCTCCTCACCCTAACTCTAAGGGAGAGCCCAGACACACTACGGAGAGAACTCATTTCAGCCGCTCGGTCATGACCCAAAGCTCATGACCATAGATGAAGGTAGGAGCGTAGATCGGCCGGTAAATCGAGAGCTTTGCTTTTTGGCTCAGCTCTCTCTTCACCACAACAGAACGGTACAGCGCACACTTCACAACAGACGCCGTACCAATCCGCCTATCGACCTCCCGCTCCATCTTCCCCTCATTCGTGAACAAGACCCCTAGATGCTTAAACCCCTCCACTAGGGGCAGTACATCCTCTCCAACCCGGTAGGCAGTAGGGAGCACTACAGTATATTAACCTCAGTGCTCCCAACCACTTGTCAGAAGTGAAAAAGCCTCTCGGATGAGAGACAAAACGTCTTCTGGATCAGCTTGAAAGCTTGGGAGTAATGCAATTGTTTTCAGCCCCCTTTACCCTGATAAATACAATTAATGGGAAAACTTTCCTGCAGAAGTCAGCTTAGCAAAATGAGAAACTATAAAATCATCAGCAAAGACATCAACAGTAACTCTAGAGGAGCTGTACAGGTCCATAACTTATGTGTAACTTATCTATTGAAGCCACACTTATTGGTCGTATTTTCGCAATAAAGGAAGGATGACACTGTATCTGTCAGGTCCAGGAGGTCACATCGTGGTTTTCTTTGAGTTCTCTATATGTTGCTATATTCTGTTATTTTTACCAGTTTGTCTGTTTAGTCTGCTCAGTTGTTTTCTAGTCTTTTTTTTCTCCTGCTTAGTTCTTCATATGTATTGTTGGATTTGTCTTTTGTCTCTCTAGTCATTATATCTGATTGTTTCTTTTAGTTTTTCTTTTCTTTTTTTATTGCTGTTTTATAATTTCTCCTTTTTAGTTTTACATTATACCCCATTCCCATTTCCCTTTTAATCTCTCTCAATTAAATAATCTAATTCTTAAACTCTACCATACTTCTCTTGACTGTATGATCTAGTGAATTGTAAAGTGCCTTGAGATTGATACTTGACATGTGTTGTGAATTGGCGCTATATCAGGGTTTACACAGGAATGAATAACTCTAACTTAATGCTTTTTAAAGCTCTTTTAAAGCTCTTAGAAATAATTTTAATGCCACCAACAGGTACCCGTCGACAGGCTGCAGGCATGTCTCGAATTCCTCGTTTTCCAGCCACTTTTGCTAAAATTGGCATTTTTAACCCCATTCTCTAGCTTTTTTTGAACATATGGCTTCGCGATCAACCGGAAACAGTTCCACACAAATATATCGTAATATAATATGTATGATGAAATACAAATTTTGCATTGACGGAACAATTTTTTTTAAAAAAGCATTTAAAATGCCACTATAAACACATTTAATGAATTTTAATGCCAATTAAGGCCTTAATTAAAAAATATATATATAATTTAATGACATTTAATGATTTTTAATGACCTGCGGAAACCCTGCATATAGACTAGGGTTGTCACGATACTAAACTTTTCAACTCGATACCGATACTAAGGAAAATATTCGATACTCGATACCATTTTCGATACCACAAGGATAAAAACAAAGACTCCAAAATTCTACAGAAATATTTTCATTAATAAATAAATTACAATAAAGGTTGTATGCTGTGCACAGTATTAAGCAAGCTTGATAAAAAACTTATAAAATTAAAATTAAGTGTTCCTTCCTTGGCTATGCTTTGCACACATAACAATGACACTAGCCAAACCGGTTATGGAACAAAAATAATTCTCAGCAGCTTCACCGCTTACAAAAAAATGTCTGAAACTGAAAAGAGCACAGAATTATTCAATCACACAGTGTTCTGAAAGTGCATTGTCTTCTATTCTGCACTTTAGATGAATGACTGCCTAGGTGCCACTGGTGGTAGCACTGTATCGATACTTTTGAAAATGAGTATTGTATCCGGATACAACATTTCAGTATCGATACTTTTTTGAGTTTCGATACTTTTGACAACCCTATTCAGTATCGATACTTTTTTGAGTATCGATACTTTTGACAACCCTAATATAAACTGAACTGAATTAAAGTGAATTAATTTGAATTCTTCTGAGCCTTATTCTGCATTTCGGTGCGGAACAACAGAGCATGAAAACCCCATCCTAAAAACACCCTCACATTCAAGTATGGTGCTGGTGGAATCATGGTGTGGGGTTATTTATCTTAGGAAGGGACAGGAGAGCTATAGATGGGAAAATCTGCATCAAGGCTGTGAAAGTGTTCTTCACAGACATTCAGCATCCAAGCTGACTGAGCTGGAGCTGCTTTACGAAGAATAACGAACACAATCCTTTAGATGTGACCCCAAAAATTTGCCCCTGATCTCAGAGAAAAATGTAACTTTTAGAAAGCATTAAAAAAATATTATAACAATAACAAATGATGGTCAAGAAGCAACAAAATGCAGGAAAAGTTCAAGGGATTCATAGTATTGTAACTCCAGACTAGCAGGAGGGAAGTTCTGACTAACGTGAAATTGTCTGAAAGGCACAAACTGCACAATGTCTCTGGCGGCAGCCTCTCCCGTTGCAGAGAGCAGCAGTCGGTCATCGCTGTCCAGGAACTCCATGGCGTCGAAGTCCGCACCTCCGACGCCCACTATGATAATAGACATAGGCAGGTGCGAGGCCTCCACGATGGCGTTGCGCGTCAAGTCCATGTCTGTGATCACTCCGTCTGTGAGGATGAGCAGCACGAAGTATTGCTGCGACACAGAGAAACAAAAAGACGTTAATATTTATAACATTTCTGCCTCTTCTTTCTACTCAATACATTTAATGTCATTTAGCTTTAATACTTAAAAAATAAAATATAAAGACTTTTTTTGGGATCAAAATGTTTTCCTACTGATGCCATGTTCTGTCGGAGAGCTTGTCTGGCAAAGCAGGCCACATGCCTGATGATTGGAGCGAAGTTGGTAGGACCCCACAGCTTCACCTGAGGCAGACACTGCTGGTAGGCCTGCACTACCCCCTCTATCCCTGCCGCACACATACATCCTACTAGTTAAAGCCACAACTGGTCAACGTCAAGCAATGTAGAGCTAATTAAAGACTTACCTGCACAGAAGGGGTTCGTTGGATTAAAGTTGATGGGAAACTCATGAGAAACCTGTCAGCAAAAGATTAAAAGTTACAGAACATAGACGGTGTTTTTAGTAAAAGAGCAAAAATAAACATTGGATTTTAGATTTATGTTTAGGATCCTGATGCAGCTAAAAATATTTTTTATTGATTTGAAATCTGAAGCTTGTTTATCTGTAAGGATTTTTTTCAGGAATGTTTTTTTTTTATTTATTTCATACCTGCAATGATGGAGGAATCTGAGCTCCAAATCCAAACACTGGAAACATCTTCGTGCTAAACATAAAGAAAGTGAAGTTTAGTATTAGGGTTCCTTCCAGACTAAATTTAATCAATTTAATCTAGTCCTGTGGGAAAGCAGCAAAGTCATTTTTTTCACATTTGCATTTTGCTGTAAATAAAAACAGGAAATTTCTCTTCTTTTTTAAAGTTACAACCACCGACTTCAATGTGTTTCATCTTAATTTTATGTAACGGATCAACACAGAGCATTTCACACCTCTCTAGAACAAAGAAATATAAAGACAAATTTCACAAATTGTTTTAGGAACGACCAACCTGTTCGTTATGAATCCATCAGGTTGGTTTCCAAGTTTTCCAAAGATCCTTAATTTAAATTAAGTCTTTACTTTGACTAGGCCGTTTTTACCCATTTCCCTGCTTTAGTCTGAACCATTCCAGCGTGGATCTGGTTGTATATTTTCTGTATTCCACTAGAAAGTGAACATCTGTGCCAGCTTGACTGTGTCGAATAAAAAAGAATCATCCCCTCAGCATCATGCAGCAACCACTGTGTTTAACAGTGATGATGGTTGGTACTTGGAAAGATGTCTGCTTTCCGTTGACCTTCACACATGGGTTTGTATATAGATCAAAAGGTTCAGACCAGATGAGCTGCTGTCATGTTTACTTGTCCTGGATCTGTACAGCTCTTTACCAAAATGCACACAGGCGTGTTGTCCTGCTAGAAGGTAAACCACCAAACAAGTCTCAAGGAGCAGCCTTTTCAAGGCTTCATTTCTCCCATCTTCCATGTTTCTGCTAAAGTAAAGAATCCCCACAGCATCATCCTGCTACTACTGTGCATTCCTCTTTAGATTTTGTGTTAAAGGTGATGTGGAGTGTTAGTTTTCATGTAGTCCCCCACAGGCTATAGCAAACAGCACCTGTAGGGCCTTTCCTATCATAGAGAGAAATATGTATCCCTTTGCTTCCGTTTAACTTATCACTTGTTGGTATGGTACCAAAATTCAAATATAATCCTGTGAGGTTTATGGTTTTTCTAACAAAATGTGAAAAAAAAATCCAGATATGTCAGAGAGGTTATAGTATATCAGGGATGCTATGCTGGGATATAAACAGAGGAATTTCAAACTTGATCTCTTCTCTTATAATTGGTAGGATTAACAATAATGGTTTAAATGAAGGGTGATTGGTCAGCATATTAACTTTCCTCTTGCACTGCTTTATCATTCTATGCATTTCACCTGTCATAGTCCTGGATGACGTTACCTACAGCCCAGATGGCCTGCAGGTATTCATTATAGCCCTCAGGGTTGATGTAATGGAGTGACTGAGGGGACATGGGGTCCCCGTTGGAGCCTGTAAAATCAATGGCAATCTGGGGAGAGACAAAGAGAGAATAAAAAAATAAAGAAACAGATTCATCCGAAGTAATTTAGACATTTGCAAACTCACCGTAAAGTTGATCTGACATCCTCCCATAACATAATCCAGGAAGCTATATTCCTTCTCCACCTGTAAGACATATTGCTTCATCATCTGTTTCCCTAAGGTTTTCACATGGGCAAATCATGTGGTGGGTTCCGAAAAGGGGGGGAAATACAGCATTTCCATGAGAAAACTAGAGATATGGATGAAGAAGACGCTGCAGAGAGGCTTTGCTGCCCCCTACTGAGCTTGATATCTCGTTGCAGTGCCTGGTGAAGTTACTTCAGAATAATTGAACTTTATCGATCTCACAATGGAGAAATTTACTCTCTGCATTTAACCCATCCCCTTGGGTAGAAGTGGGCCGCCATTGTGCTGCGCCCGGGGAGCAATCGGGGGTCAAGGGTCTTGCCCAGGAAGTGCCAGAGTGGCAGTTCCTGGGAACTGAGAACCTCAGGATTCCAAGCTTTATGTCCATTAGGCCACCACTCCCCACAAGGCACCAGAAATCTAAATTCTGCTCCTTTTTTTCGTTGCAGTTGTTGGAAAAAGGACTCTAAGACATAATTTGTGTGGGTGTGAGTTTAAAACTGGTGTTGTTCAGCTCTACTTTAGACCCTCACTGAGCACACTTTGAAGGGGTGTTCATTGCTTCCCTATTCTGGGCCTAAAACACAAAGAGCTGCTGGAAAGTCAAAGCATCATAACCTCCATTATGAGTTTACTGCCTATTCAAACAGCGTTACAGCAGGCCTTATTGTGAAACATAATAAAATTGACAAAAAGGTGGGATGATGTTTTTCAATGTTACCTGGCAGCGTTTTATACAAATGATCCCAGAGTTTTTATATTTTTTGTTTTTTGTCTTTTTGGAGTTTATGCACTCAAATTCAGCCTGAAAATAAAAGAAAAAAGAATCAAATCAAGTATAACTTTTTTTGAGAGATGTAAATTGTTTCAAACCACAAAAAGAAAAAAAAAAGAAAAAAGACATCTAGAAAATCTCACCTGTGAACTGTGTGCTCCTGTTAGCATCTCGGCTAGTGAGGCTCTAAAGCTGCCGATAAGGTCATGGGAGCCGTTCATGCGGTTGTCATAGCAATCGACCTGGGGGAGGAGAACGCCACGATAAGTTCCAGTGATTCATGCAAGAATCATCATATTACAAGCAACATCTCACATGTCATGCAGTCATCCACATATGACACAGTTTTCTTATCAGGTAAAAAGCAAAATAATTACCTCACATGAGCTAAAAGAAGGATGAATCCGACCAACGCTGCTGCTTTTTAGGTGAGGCAGCATTATATAACAAAAAAAGCAATTAGTAGCATGTGAGAGACTAAAAGCCAAACAAGTCAAAGAAAGCTCTGGTAAATGGGAACATATTAGTTCATGTTAATATGAAGGATTTTTAACCAGCAAGCAGATGTGGTCAAGATAAAAAAGTAAGTATAATTGCTTTAAATCCTAATATTTTACACAGAACGTTCTTAAAGTCTGCTGAATTTAACCTAAAACATTATCAAGTTACAAATGCTTAGTTTTATGTGATGTTTTTTATTCGTAGGCCATGTTTACTCCATGTGAAAGCAAATTCACCTTCTTTAGTGATAGCAAGATCTCACACTGAAAAATGCAGAGTAATATTTGTTTAAAGAGTCAAAAGTATTGGCAGCTCTGATAACGCCTATTAACTTTATTACTAAAATAAAAACAGAGCTTTAGATTTGGAGGATAATCAGGAGAGGTGATTTTTTAATAGTAATCTTGATTCCCTGGGATATGAATATGACAAGATCAAAAACTTTTCTAGCAACTGGTCACCTGGTGACTGGATTAGCTCCAAATCCATAACAGTACACAGAGTGAACAGGGCGGATGTGCAAAACATTAAAATGTCCAATTCTTCCTGGTGCAGCACCACCTAGCCTCTATAACAACCATAAGACTTTTCCCTTAATGCTTTGAAAGGGAAGCTAAAAAAAGAAGACGAAAAAAAAAAGAATATTTTTCTGTACTTCCAAAAAAGTAAAAAAAAAACAAACGTTTTCGCTTCCCATCCAGGAATCTTTTTCAATTCAAATGTCTTGATTAGAGTGAAGTTCCAGACTTGTTTTGGCTTAGAAAACATGCAAATTGAACCCGAAAGAACAGTTCCATCCCTTAGTAATGGGAAGAACTATGACCTGGATGAATGAGAATCTTGTCCAGCATATTTATCTGTCCTACCATGAAAAACGTAAACATGTGGAGTTTGCTAAACTCCATTGAAACTTTAACAAGAACAATTTGCCTTTTTCAGGTAAACTGAAGACTAAGACTATATGGAAAGCAACATGGACTGCTCAGTTTTGGGTTAGATTCCCGGCCTGGGGTCTTTCTGCATGGAGTTTGCATGTTCTCCCTGAGCATGTGTGGGTTCTCTCCGGGTACTCCGGTTTTCCGAACACAGTCCAAAAACATGAATGTTATGTTAATTGGATTCTCTATATTCTCCTTAGGTGTGAATGGTTGTATGTCCTGTTTGTCTCTGTGTTGCCCTGTGATGGACTGGCCAGGGTGTACCAGCAGCCCCTCGCGACCCCAACTGGGACAAGCGTGTCAGAAAATGGATGGATGGATGAAATGGATGAAAAGCAACATATGATCACTGTTAAGTATAGTGGAGGATCTGTACACACGCACACTCCTCCTATTTGGCAATCCTTCAGCAGATACCTACACATGTGGAATAGATAGACCTTGATCTAATGGAGTAAATCTCCTCCTAGAGCTCCATATATTGTCTACTCCTTACTTGTATTAACACTTTCTGGCCACTGGCGTCATTCTATCTTATTCTACTTAAGAAAGCGCCTCAATCAACCGTGTCTTTGTTCAAGCACATCTCTTTCTTTTAATATAATAAACTGATTCAAAGGGTATAAAAATGTCCATACATCATTTATTTTAGCTTTAAACACCATAACCTTCAGATGGAACTAGTTTCTCCCCATACAAAATGTTTTTTTTTATAATATATGTACTCAGATTAAAGGTTGTACGTTTTGTTTCAGTAAATACTCAGTCAGATTCAGATAAATATACAGTTGTAGAAAAAAATTTGTATCTTTTTATATCTTTTATTTATTTTTATAAAAGTTTATTACCTGAAGAACTATGAAGGTAGATTTGTTTCTTTATTCTTCAATCAAAAAAAAGGTTGCTTCAGTCAAAAAATAGATTTTTAATTAAAAAAACCTTCACTTCAACGAAAAAAGGTGTTTATATATTTGAGATTCAAAAAAATACATTTGAACACTGCTTTTCTTTGATTGAAAATGTTTCATTTGATAGAAGTGCAGTCTTTTTTGTTGAAATCAACTTTTTTAATTGTAGTAACATTGTTTTTTGATTGGACCATATAATGGGTAGGACATTTGTGTCTTTATAATTCAATCAAAAAAGAAGTTGCTTCTTCAAAAAAGAAGAACAGCTTCTTCCCCTCTGCCATAAGACTCATGAACACTATATGTCAGACTCCATAACCTGCCCATGCCATTCACACTGCTGTATTGCACACTGCTCTATTTGCACTACCTTGTACATTTTACTTTTTATATTTATCCATATTTTTATCTTAAGTGTATATATTAGTATATTTTTTGCATGCCTTATACCCTAGTGTTTTTTAGAGATTTTTATAATTTTATTTACTATTTCATATATGTTTCATGTTGCACGACTGTACCACAAAAAATTCCTAGTTGTGAACTTCTTCACTAACAATGGCAATAAACCCGATTCTGATTCTGATTCTGAAGTTGCTTCAAACACACAAACAACAGAATCAATAAAAAAAAGTAACTTAAATGAAAAGATAAACGTTTTCAATCATAGAAAATAGTTTTTTAATGCAAATAAAATATTTGAGACTCAAAAAATTGCATTTGAACACTTTTTTTTTAATTTTGAAAATGTTCTCTTTGGTGGAAGAACATGATGAATGCGAGCCAAACAAAAGTGTGATCTAATCAGTTCTTCCATAACTGTATATTAGTTCAAAAGTTTCTAAATGGATCTTTATAAAAGGAGAAAGAATGTGTAAAACATTAGGAATAAGTTAGCAATGTACTTACTTTTTCATTGCTGAATCACAGAACAGAAATTACCTTTATTGGTTTTTCCACGTCCCCCCCACAGAGAGCTCGCAGTGAAATGCGGAAAGGCCTCCATACTGGATTCCTGTTGTTTTGAACTACCTGTGTGAAGCAGAACAGCCGAACCCAAAGTGAGCGCTAATCGCAGCTAAACCAGATGCTTGATAAACTCACCTCTGTCCTGTGTGCCAGCTGCCACCCTGTTTCTGTTTGCTTGTAGAACTCCAGGAAGGGATCGGACCACCACAGAAACTACACAACGTTACATCGTAAGTAAAGCACGAATGAATCAGAGCAGACAGCTCAAGCAAACTCTGACGCCTCAATCTGTACCTTTTTGTCGAGCCTGAGTGCTGACACTTCAAAGTGCGCCACTCTTGTGTCTGTTATCTCTTCAGCACTGATCTATAAATCGGGTCAAAAAAGGAGGAAACATTATTATTTTGCCTCCTTTTAAGGCAACTTAAAAAAAGGGTGAATATCATGAAAAATTGTATTTGTGCATCCTGTCTGGCTGTAAGGTTCGCACTCTCCCAAGTTCGGTACAGGTGGAGACACGACTTGGTGTGTAGGAAGTTAGCAGCGGTGACATAGGCGTGCAGATCGGAGGCTAACGGCAAACCTCCCGCACCGGTAATGTTGCCCATCCTCTTCAAAAGAGCCGAGGACAGCCCCAAACCTGCCCACTGCACATCACCAGGCGGTCAGTGGTCCATGAGGGTCGACCTGGGGACACAACTTCAGTTTTCGATGGGGATTGTGGAGACATCACTGTGGCCATACCTGATCTTGTGGTCAATTCCATGCAAGACCATCCTCCTGGTGGAGCTAACTGTACCGTGGGAGCAGGGAATGGAGGCTGCTAATGAGTGCAAGGGCACCAAGCATTCAGACCTGGTAGCTGATTAAAGAGAGGCTTGCTGGAAAGTCATCACATGCCCCATCAAGGTGGGATGTAGGGGATTTGTTGCTTCCTCAATGGTTTGCCTGCTCTGCCGCCTTTGATGCACTGGAGCTGGACGTTGCAAAGCAATTAGGAAATTGGTAGAGGCAGGAAAGGGGAGTTTCTGGCTGTGGCTAAGGAGAAGACACAGGGAGTGGGAGCCTAAAGAGCAGATTAGACTTCCGCTACCGCACACATCAAATGCCGCTTGGGTCTGGTTTTGAACCAGTTTTGCTGGTATGCTTCTGTACTGTCTGTCTGGAATTTCTAGGGCTGTACATTAGTTTCCCGCCAAAGCCCAAGGGGGAACCTATTCGAGAACTCACGAGAACTTTGGTGGACGGTCACACACCTTGGTATCTCTATATAATTTGTCAGAGGCATCGTACAAGTGGTTTTACTTCCGAACTTCCTTGATTAACCTTTCGTCCAAGTTGTCTATTGTAGATGTTCCTCGTTTTTTGAGAAAATGGCGCGCCCCGGCACCGAATCGAGAAGGACGACCACACAGACAGCCGGAAAGGCATACCAAGGACCAATCACACAATCGCAGCTGCTTTTTGTCTGCGCACTTCCGCTTAAGGTCTGTGCGGGTTTGCAACCGACCGATGCGTAGCCAGAATTTTTTTGAGGTGCGTGACGATGGTTGCAGAACCTCTGTGCGGGGGCGTGGTCGCGCACAGGGACAGATTTGACGGTTGCAGAGGCTATGCGTCAGAAGCATAAATTGGCCTTAACACCTAGGGCATCGGCAGAGGGTGGCAGGGATCCCTGCCGTCGCTCCACCACAAAGAGATGTACTGGGGTTAAAGGAACAAAATATCCATGACTGGTAGTCCCCAGCTGATGACCCGCTCAAGCCCGGGGGTAATAAAGGCACTGGTGGAGGTGCATCAGGCAGCAATGCCCAGCAGGTAGAACATCACCCTGTATTTCCAATTAAATTGGATGATGAAATGGTCCACTCACAGTAATGGTCCCATGGCCCGCAGGTCTCCTGTCCTTCAGCAACAATGGTCGGGTCATCTGCTTGTTGGAAACTATCTGGATGAAAAACAATATTCTGTTGCTTTCAAACATGCAAAATCAGGAAATGTTCTCATTCTTAGCTCTACATCCCGTTTAACTCACCTGACCGAGGGTGCATTCCAGCTCCCCCAAGAAATCATGATCACTCAGATCATAGGTATCACTGTCGATGTCGTACACGCAAAACCTCAGCCTCTGCACCATCTCAAAGTAGTAGTCGATGACAAACTTCCTGGCAAACTTTGGGTTAAGGCAGTTCAGGATCATCTCTGTGCGGCCAAACTACTTTCAGAGAGAATGACAAAAGAGACGAGGGTAGGAAAATGTGGATAGCTTTTTTTTTTTTTTTTTCTCAGTTCATCACCAATCTGCCATCATGACCCAACACGGACCTCATACCAGTGGGAGCCTGAAGTGTTGATGTAAAGAGCGCACAGAGGGTCAGACTTGGAGAAGACGTCCATGTCCATCAGGTTTTCACAGGAGATGGTCAGCTCCACCTTGGAGGCCAAGTGAGCGGCCGCCGGAGCTGAGACCGGCGCTGATGCCATTTCAGCTCGATGTGTTAAAAAGATAATCTGTCATTGGCAAGCAGGGAATTTAGCTGAAAAGTCATGTAATTTATGACCAAAAGTATTTAGACCAGTTGAATCTTTTGAAATGTTTTAATGATACAAACACTGAGTGTTTTATATTTGCACTTAAATGGGAAGGGGCTACTTTACTATAATAGACCCAAATAAAGGCCAACCAACTGCCCACGGAACTCATTTACTCTATCTCTGGATAAATGTATAAAATGGAAATGTTTATATTTCATGTGACAGGGACTGAGCTATCACACTCTGATAAAATGCAAAGCAGGCACTATTCAGCATTTGCTGTCCGCTGAAAAAGACAAAGCCATCAATGCCTAAACCACTGGCAGTAAAGTCATAGGGAAGCGGCTGTTCCAACTGTTGCATTTCCAAATTCTCCGGAGTGAATAAAGTGAATGTGATTGCATGGGAGTAGGTTTGCATAGGGACCATAGGGACATGTCCCTACCAAAATTTTGGACCGACCTACTTGTCCCTACCAAAAATTAGATGTGAAAAACAGGTTTATAATTTAC